AGATTTCCCCCATTCATGTTGACAAGTCACATTGTGTTCTCACTATGCAAGTCTTGTTTAGGTGACCATATGTTGAGATTACATGGGTATGGCTTCCCTGTCATGCCTAGAAAACTATCTCTCAGCAGACATCCTGGTCCCCTGACTCTTAGAATCTTTCTGCCCTCTTGTCTACAAAGTTCCATGAGCCCTAGTTTACTCCACTCATGACTGTCTGGCATATTATATTTTTACTGACTGTATTATTTTTGAATCTTTAGCCCCTAAAACTACCTGACCTATAGTAGGTGTACATGAAGTATTTTTTGACTATTTTATAGAATTGATCAAATTTGACAGATTAAGGCATGAATTGTGGAGCAAGGCTACTTGGAGTCACCTTCTTGGTCTTGCCACATGGTGTGAGACTTGTGTAAATTACTGTGTTGTTTACGTTTTTCATTGCTGTCACAAAAATACCCTACACAAAATCTACTTATGGAAGGAAGGAAGGAAGGAAGGAAGGAAGGAAGGAAGGAAGGAAGGAAGGAAGGAAGGAAGACAGGCAGGTTTCATTCTGTCTTTCAGTTAAAGGGGACACGGTCCCCATGGCAGGGAAGGCGGCGAGGCATGAGGCGACTGGTCACATTGCTTTCCAACCTGGGTGAAGAAAGTGGACAGGAAGTGAGACTGGGCCATAGCACCGCAAAGCCTGTCCCTAGTGACTACAAGCTTCCAACTTACAACCAAGCGTTCAGACACACAAGTTATGGAGGGGACATTTTGCAGTCAAACCATAAAACTGCTTCTTGCCCAGTAGAGCCATGGCCATCTCAAGATCCAAAATGTGCCCATCTGAACTTTAAAACTACACACAATCTTTAACACTCCCAACGCCATTCAAAAAATCCAAAATCTCTTCTGAGACTCAAAGCCGCCTCTCAGCTGTATCCCTTCAAAATGAAAGCTTAGATGTTATATACTTCCAGTATACAGTATTACAAAACACATATTCCTATTCACAAATGGACCAAAGGAGACCCATCAAGGCAAACACCAAACACTGCAGCTCCACATTCAGCATCTGTGGCTTGTGATGGAATTATCTGGGCTCCAAAGAGCTTAGGTATCCCCATCACTTCAGCCTGCTGCATGCATCACACATAGCCTCTCTTTTTGGGTTGGCTCCACCCAAACCTTTAGCCTTCATTGGTAGATATTCCATGAACTTGGTATCTTTTATGTCCTTGGGCTCAAATGCAAGTTAGATTTTTTAACCTTCACAACTTCATATCAGGGACTCAAAGGCTGACGTATCTCACTGGTCTCAGTGCCCTTCAGGACCTTGGCACAGGCCTATTTGACCCTTTAACTCTTACATCTTTTCATACCTGTTAAACCAGTACCATATGGACCATTCTACCAAGTTCTTATAGCCAGGTTGAGACGTAGCCTGACCCTCAGATCACAGCTGCATTAGCTTCCATGTGCTGATCCCAGGGAAACTCTTCCCTAGTTGGTTTTGTAGCAGGGAAACCCTTCTGTGGCACCTTATGTTTAGGCTCTCTTCTGTGAAGGCTTTGATGGGTGGGGTTGTGCATGTGTGGAGGCAGAGTATAAGGTGTCTGCCTAACTGTCCTAAAGGCTTTAACAATCACAGCTGCTTGCTTAGTACCATCCTTATCTACAACTTTATTTTAGCCCCCTTTCCCACAAAACTGCACATGTTCCACCTCTTTCTGCTCCACTTGTTCTTTCACTCTGTAGACCCAGGTACGTGCAGTAGACCCAGATACATGCAGTAGACCCAGATACATGCAGCAGACCCAGATACATGCAGTAGACCCAGATACGTTCAGCAGACCCAGATACGTGCAGCAGACCCAGATACGTGCAGCAGACCCAGATACGTGCAGCAGACCCAGATACGTGCAGCAGACCCAGATATGTGCAGCAGACCCAGATACATGCAGTAGACTCAGATATGTGACATAACCTGGATGATATCCAGGTTTGAGATTTCTTTCACCATATACATTGGTCCTTTAGTGTTGAATTCAACCTAACTCAAGATCTCAGGACTTTGGCTGAATTCATCCAGATTCTTTGTGAGACTACATCATGAATGGCTTTTTTCCCCATGCTCAACAGTGTCCTCAGCCCTCCCTTAAGTACCATGAGCCAGGCCTCTACTCTTCCCATTTCCACCAGCATTCTGAAATTCTGATCTCTCACAGGTTGGTCATTAAGCTCTGCTTATGAAATTCTAGGGATTTTCTATACTGAAGTTTCAGTTTCTTCATACCCCCTCCATCCCCACAAGCCACATTGTGAGGCCTAAAAGCCACATGATCAGCATGTCATTTGTCATAGCAATTGCCCCACCCCTCTGTGGTTGGACTTTTATTTGGGCCACCAGCTCCCAAGTAATGACAGGGAAACTTATTATTAATTATGAAAGGTCAACCTTAGCTTAGGCTTATCGCACTAGCTCTTATAACTTAAATTAACCCATTTTTTTTAATCTACATTCTGTCGTATGGCTTGTTACCTCATCTCTCTATACTGCTCATGCTGCTTCCTCTGGGTCTGGCTGGTGACTCTGTCTTCTTCTTCCCAGAGTTCTCTCTGATTCTCGAAGTCCCACCTATACGTCTTACCTAGCTGCTGGTCTTTCAGCCTTTTATTACACCAATCTATCTAGCCAAATTTGTATACTGTACAAATACCCCACAACACTCCCCAGCACTGACTTTCTTATTAATTTTCTCATTGCTGTGGTTGGAAATACCTGACAAAAACAGAGAAGGAAGGGGTTTGTGTTGGCTGTCAGTTTGAGGGGATACAGTCATGGTGGGAGGAGTCATAGGTGACTGGTCATATTGCTTGGCAACCAAGAAAGAGAAAACAGGAGTGAGACCAGGCTGTTAAACCTCAAAGCCTGTCCCTGAGAGATCCACCTCCTCCATCAAAGCTGCACCTCCTGAGACAGTGCTAACAGCTAGAAGCCAAGTGTTCAATGTTCAAACACTTGAGGCTGTCAGGGACATTTTAAAACTATATTAAATTGTGTTTACATTTATTTATTTCCATGTGTGTGTGTGGGAGGTGCTGTGCATGCCATGGTGTGCAAGTAGAAGTCAGAGATCATCTTTCAGAAGTCAGTTCTTTTTCTCCATCACGTGGATTCCAGGGATGGAACTCAGGTCTCCAGCTTTGCTGACAAATGCCTTCACCTACCGAGTCAAACCACCATGGCTGTGCAACTTCCTGCTTCTCATCCATCTTACCCGGAAAGTAGAAAACAGACTCTTACTTCAAAGAGCTGTAATGAGATTGAAATGCATTTCATGTGAATGATGAACATATATGAATGGCTTCTGACCTCTATGTTAGAGTTGGTTATGAAGTTTGTGACAAATGCCTGTACGTGTGCTTTTGCTTTATCTGACCTTGAGAGGAATCTGTGTTCATATGTTGACCATCGTTTCAGGGATGATTTCTGCTTTTGACTGACCAGTAGAGTAAAGACTCTATTTCATATCCCAATGGCCAGAATATTGCCCTTCATCATGGTATCCCCTTAGCTGAACAATGATTTGTTTAGTCTTTTAAAGTTCTTGCTGTGATTCTTCAGTGAAATTCTTCTAGAGTTACCTTATTCTTTTTGAGATATGCTCTTTTATTGGAACCGTAGTGTATAAATTTGGCTAGATAGGTTGGTCAGCAAACCCCAGAGATCCTCCTGTCTCTGCCTCCCTAGAACTGGGATCATAGGCACGCATCACTGTGCCTGACTTCTTTCCTAGTTGCTGGGGGCGCAAAGTCAGCTCTCCATGTTTGCATAGCCAGCATTTGACCAACTCTGCCATCTCCACAGCCCCAATCTTGGGTATTTTTTTTTTAATGCATCTTGAAGTTTCCCTATTTTAAAGTCATAAAGAAGTTCTCTCATTTTCTATTTCAGTGTTATTATGGTTTTATTTTAGGAGTTTACACCATCATTTCTTTGGTATTTATTCTATGTGATGGATTCTTTCTAGTGGTCTGTGTATTTGATGCAGTCCCACTAATTAAATAGTTTGTCTTTCCCATTGGTTTAACATGCTGCATACATGTGAGGAAAGGTCCCGTATGACTTAGAATGTAGGGACTGGAACACAGTGAGCTAGTTCTATGCTTAGGAAGGTCAAAGTATTCGATTCAATTATGGATATAGTGGTTAAATGTGGGGTAATTCATTCAATTTTGGTCATACTGCGGGGGTTGAACCATCAAGCTGTGGCAGTGGGATTGATAGGAGAGAAAGTTCCGTCCTTGAGTTCTCCCAAGTTTTTTTTTTTTTTTTTTTTTCTTCTTCAGCAATCTGGAAATATGTTAGCCATTTACTGAAGAATGGATCATTGAAGAAACAACAGTTTTGGACAAAAACCAAAAGTAGACATGTTAAGTTTGGGAATGTAAGCCAAATACAAATATCAATAGCAAGTTTGTTGTTGGATTCTAGAGTTCAGAAAGTAAATCCTTCTTTGTAAAAACTCTCACCTTTCATGTCTCATAAGTGAGTTCTGAGTTCCCATCACCAGACACAGTCTGACCGTCATCTGCTTCTGAAAGTTTCTTCTTCCTGCATTGCCTTCCATAGACCAAACCAGCAGTTGTAACATTTATAGAACGTTCTAGATCTTGTTCATTTTGAGAACTTTGCCAGTGCTTGTCTTTAATACCTGGTGTGTCTGCTGTCTGAGGTGAACTGGGATGGTATGTAGTCTTTTGACTTCATTCAGAAGAGGGGATAGAAGCATGAGCCACAGAGAGGAAAGTTATATTTCAGCTGATGGCATTTAGTAAATGGGCTCTGCTGTTTTATCCCTGTGAGCTCATTTCATGTCACTGTCATGCTGGAACTTAGGGACACACATACTAGGCAGGCACTGTATCTCTGAGCTACAGCCCCGGCCTTGTGTGATTCACTACATAGTGACTCTTGGTAAAAGTTCATGTGACTGTCTCTGTTCCAGATGGGAACATTCAAAGCGCACGATGGCGAATATTTCCTAGAACCAGTCATGAAGGCAGATGGGCGTGAACGTGAAGATGACCACAACAAGCCACACCTGATATACAGACAGGAGTTAAAGAGGAGCTCCCTCGCACAGTCGCGTGGGCCTTGTGAAGTTGCAGGTAACCTTGGAAGGGAAACCGTTCAGCTAAACTGTAATGCTACTTAAAGTTTTTTTATTGGCTATCATCTATATTTTTAGTTGGCAAAATTGTATACACCATCTATTACATATGAAGAATACGCACATTGTGGAATAATTTCTGTGGTAAAAACATCTACTCTTAGCAATTTTAAGGATACGACCCACTTTCGTTAATATTGTCTCTCTGTTGCACAGTAGTGCTCTGGAGTTTATTCTTGATACAGATGAAGTACCCTTTGACCAACCTCTCCCCAAATCACCACTTCTGCTTTTCAGAGCTACCACACTACTCTTTAGTTGTGTAAGTTCATCTGTTGAATTACACATACACATGAGATATGGCATTTTTTAAAATGATATTTTCAAAAGCATTTTTCCTGTAAGGATCCATGTAAAGTGTTTCTGTAGCAAATTAAAGTCCACAATATGCATTCAGTATAGAGAATTTATAGTGGACAACCATAGACAAGTTTTATTTCAGTATACTATTCGAAATGGTGATTAAGTTTTTTTCTCAATGGAATCTTAACACCAGTCCAATCATCGTTCTGCCTCATGTGCTTCTACCTCTCCTTAGTGGAAGGAAGCATGTCATTTGCAGGTTTCCAGGACCACCATTTTGCTCAGCCTGCTTCTCAGGTGCGTCTGTTTTGGTGTATGTCACAGCAGTGTGTCCATTTTCATGCTATGAAGTGTTGACTTGTTTGAATATGTCATGGCACCAATATTCATTTTCCCAGTGACATTTTGGGTCATTTTCAGGTTTTTGATATGAGAAACAATGCTTCCCCATCATCTTTGTCTACAGGAGGTACACACAGATGCTAGGGAATCCCATATTCCTTTACAAAGCTGTGTTTAGATCCAGCAATGTGTTAGAGTTGATTTTCATCCTCTTTTTCTGATAAAACTCAGACTACTGAATATTTATAATGTATTAGGATCTAGGAGTCATGGATTTCTATACAGGATAAATCTATTGCTGATAAAATATTTTGCTTGTACTTTGTACAAATGTTAGGTTTGGGTCTACATATACTAATGGATCTTCGTTATTCACATGGTGACATACAAAAACATCGAGAAAAGGCAGCTGCAGTTGTCATCCAATACAAAGCCAAGACAAAGAGTGGGATCAGGAAGGATTTCTTTGACGTTGTAGGTATCCATAAACTATAGTTCTGAATGCTGTGATGCTGCTCATTGTGGGATGTGATGATAGGCAGGCCTTTGAAGGTTTTTTTTCTGGGAATCCACTCTTAATTAACCTTTGCTGTTAGAAGACTGCTGTTCGGTGTGGCCCTCACTGAGACCAAGGCTGTACTTTACATCTACTGACTTAACAGAAACTTTTCCATTGCTTCTAATATGAGCATAACAGCTGCATTTTTATGACTTCAAAGACAGCACAAATGTGTGTGCAGCTTCACAATGGGACACTACGGAGCGCAGCTCTTGCCAGAGCCAATGGACTATTCAGGAGCAGCTTGTTTAATGAATTGTGTGGCTTTGTAAGAAGAAAACCCCTAAGGGGCATTCTGAACGCATAATGCGTGACGTAGGGATATGCAAGCCTTCATATTCATGCTCAGCATTCGTTATTATCAAGAGAAGGCTCCAAAAAAAGCTAGGTTCTTTGGTTTAAAAGATTTTTCATACTAAAGGCATATGATAAAAATTATAAATGAAAAGCAACTGGATAACTGAAATTTAGTTTTTTTTTATTAATTACAATATATGTTTCTGTATAATATTTATCAAAACATAAATGTAGTATCTATTCTCATGAATAGATCCCTCCAATTTCAGTTTCAATTAACATGTACATTTTTAGCCATTAACAAAGGCAATCAGTTAGTGACCCAAACTATTAGCTACTAATTATCACTTTATTAGTAAAAGTGAAGAGTTGTGAATATAATTAGTGAAATCTTATACAAGATGTTTTTTTTTTCTTTCTCATCTTTGTTCAGAAACTTTCAGTAACCTTCCCTATTCCAACAGCTGAATCTTCAAGAAAATTCCTTAAGGAGGTGAAAGCTACAGGTTTAGTACATTGCCCATCACAATTAAACAAAAATTGACTTTTTTTGGAATGGTTTTAATTCATTTCAACTCTACTCTTGATGAATTAGGTTAAATTGTTTCCAAGGTCAGAGGCCACTGTGCACACTAAGGTGGTATAAATGAAATTTGTTGGTTAACCCCAGCCATTGTGGACACCAGAATCTCACGCCTAGATAAGGCAGAGGTACAGTCCTGTGGATGCAGAGGGGCTATCCAAAACGAAATGCAAATGTAATCAGACATCAAACGAAAACCCCACAAATGCCACCAGCAACGCGAAGTAAACACAACGCAAAGGGGAAGGAAACCTGGGAGTGTCTGCCGAAATGAAACAAAGTTTCTGAGCTCCATTGTACATCTGTTACTATTCCTCCTCAGTGGGCAGATGGGATCCCATGAGCCTTACCCAAGGTCTCTGTCACCCACTTGTCTCTGTGTCATGGAGTAGACTCACAGAGCATTTGTTGAGCGCCAAGAGGATGAGGACACCTGAGAGTGCCATGACTTTTAATGGAGTTTTTCTAACTTCATGTACTTCTGTTGTCTTCGAGTCCTTAATATTACAACAAAGATAAGAATTTGTTAGAACTGCACTGTGGATCGGAAGAAAGATTTGTTCCTTGGAAGTTCTCATGTGTGTGAAGAGTAACCCACTCACTGAACTTGGGGCTTGCCAATTCTGGCTCGTCTATCCAGCCACCTTGACCCAGTGATCCAGGGGCTCTACCTCTTGAGCGTGAGGCTTTGGTTGCTATAAAGTTGGCCCCTCTTGTTTGTGGCTGGGAAATCTGGTGTCTTCCGGCCCATGTGGACTTGCCATGGCTCATGATCAGATCTCCTGAGCAAGAGGAATTGTGGCTAAGGAGCCTTTGAAGTCCTTGACACACCTGTTCTTCTCTTCTGTTTCATTTGGAACATGTTTCAGTCTTTTCTTTAGATCCAATTGCTTCCTGTTCTGATATTTGCAATCGGTTATTTACTTAGTAACTAGGTAGATCTGAATATTACCCTTTCTTAGACCCACTTAACTTCCTTAGAGAGATCTCTCCTCTGCTGCTGCACATTCCCTTTGTCCTGTTTTAGATTTAGTTATCCTTAAAGATTTCAACTTCAAATGTTTTTCTTCCCCACCCACATATTATGGTTTCTCAAATTAAAAAAATAACAACACTTTGTTCTAAATACGAGCCAGTTAAATAAATATCTGGGTGCTCTGGATATATGGAGATAAAATGATAGTGGGTCATTAATTTTTGGCTTTCACACTAATTATGACTATAGAGGCTCAGTTTATTGCAAATTGATATTCAATTCTTTTATAATTTACCTCTGTGTGTTCTCTTGTGGTTACGGTTCACTAGTTAGCCATGAAACTTATTTTATAGCTTTATTTCTGGCTCCCAAAACACATAAGTTAGTTGCCAGTGCTTGGTGAAGTAAATCTGACTCTTTGGGTCTTTGCTGCTTAAACTCATAAAAAGTAAGCAAAGATTCTACTTTTTATCAACTAGAATCTAATAGTAATTATTAATAAGATATTTTTAAAGAATACTTTGACTCCTTCCTACCCTGCTTTTTTTCTGTTCATTTTCTTCTATTATTGTTATAGCTAAGACATATAGCACCATATTAAATAGGAATAGGAACTATTTGACTTGTTCTTGATTTTAGTAGGAATGTTTTCCACTATCTCCTTTTAGCATGATGTTTACTCTAGATTTGTGATGTGTAGTCTTTAGTATGTTGAGATACGTTCTCTCCAGCCCTGTTTTCCTGAGAATTCTTTTTTAGAAAGGCTTGTTGAGTTTGTCAAAGGTGAGTTTTTCATGTATTGAGATAATCATGTGATTTATGCTCCTGAAGCCACTTATGTGATATATCAAAATGATTTATTTTTCCTGTGTTGAATACTCTTGTATCTTTGGAATGAAGTAATATTTAAAATAGCTTATTCATTTTATATATGTATAAGAGTTTTTAACCTAAATCTATATATGTATACCATATATGTTTTTGATACCAGAGGAGTCCAGAAGTGGGCATCAGATCCCCTGGAGCTGATGTTGCAGATGGCTATGAGCTGTGTGATATGGGTGCTGGGAACAGAACTCAGATCTTCTATAAAAGCAGCAAGTGCTCCTAACTGCCAAGTCTGTCCTCTCGCCCCAAGTGAATAGTTCTTGATGAATTTCAGTATCTATTCGTAATGAAAATTCTTAGTAAGTTAAGAAAACTATGGATTTAAGGGGACTTCTTTAATCAGAGAAAGAGCACTTAAGGATGCTCATTTAGGACCACTGGATGAAATAATAGTAGTTGGTTGGTCTCAAATCTTTGTCCTCAGTAGACCTCCCACCTTTGATTCTACGTCTTAGCTCAGCTCTATGTTATTTTCATGGGGATGAGCAGCTAGTTCTTTCTTTTAGTCTCTAAGAAGCAACATTTTCCACAGTGACGTTGGTGCTAAATTCTCCTCATTCGGTGTGTTGTCATGTATGGCTTTTCGCGGAGCCATGTGATGTGGCATTCAGTTTAAAAACCTATTTTGAGGAAATCTGAGTTCATTCCTTTGTTATGCTATTCAGTTGCTGGCTATGAAAATGTCACTCAGCCCATGTCGCATGCCTGTGTGTTTTAAAAATTCTCCAGGAATGGTAACTGATCCAAGGCTGCAGGGAAGACTGATGTTGTAATCATTCTTTTATCTCACAGAGACAAACCCACAATCTTTCGTGTATTTATTACCAGTAGATGGTGTAACACGAATCTTAAAAAGGTCTTATTAATAAAAAAATAAAAACAACCCTGGAGCCAGATATTGGGGTGAAAACTGAAAGATCAGAGAAACAGAACAAGCCGCAGCCAACCTCACCTCGCCAACTTGCCACCTCGCCTATCCTGTTTCCTCAG